AGAAGGAAGGAATGCAGGCAGGAAAGAAAGAAAGAGAGAAAGAAAGAGGGGGAAAGGAAAGGAGGATGGAAGGAAAGAAAGAGGAAGGAAAAAAGAGGAAAGAGAGAGAAAGAGAGAAGGAGGGAGGGAAGAAAGGGAAAAAGGAGGGAAGGAAGAAAGAAGAAGGAAGGAATGCAGGCAGGAAAGAAAGAAAGAGAGAAAGAAAGAGGGGGAAAGGAAAGGAGGATGGAAGGAAAGAAAGAGGAAGGAAAAAAGAGAAAAAGAAGGAAAGAAAGAAAGAAAGGGGGGAAAGGAAAGAAGGATGGAAGGAAGGAAAGAAATTGTGTTTTTAATTCTTGTGCCTATTTGCTGATCATGTTAAGTTGTAAGACTGCCTTAGGGAGAAATATATCTGTAAGCCAGCTGGGTGACTGAGTCAGTCACCAGGAAACAGTGAATTCTAGTTGCACCTCAGACATGAAAGCCAGATAGGTGACTTTGGGCCAGTTACTCTCTCTCGCTCTCTCAGCCCAGCCAGTCTCACAGGGTTATTGTTGTGGAGGAAATGAGTAAGGAACATTAGGTATATTCACCGCCTTGAGTTTCTTACAAAGTAATAGAAAAAGGAAAAATAACTAATTAATCAATAAAAAGAGGTAAGATTAACACAGTGACTCAGTGGCCAAGACACTGAGCTTGTTGATCAGAAAGGTTGGCAGTTTGAATCCCTAGCACCGTGTAATGGAGTGAGCTCCCGTTACTTGTCCCAGCTTCTGCCAACCTTACAATTCGAAAGCACATAAAAAAATGCAAGTAGAAAAATAGGGACCACCTTTGATGGGAAGGCAACAACGTTGCATGTGCCTTCGGCGTTTAATCATGCTGGCCACATGACTACGGAGACGTCTTCGGACAGCGCTGGCTCTTCGGCTTTGAAACTGAGATGAGCACCATCCCCTAGAGTCAGGAACGACCAGCACATATATGTGAGGGGAACCTTTACCTTAAGAATGATTCAAGGGAAGGAGGACCCACTCCCTTCTAGCACTGATGATGTTACCCAGTTGGGCCATGAAAGGTCTGCAAGAAAGCCACTAAGCTCAGAGATCACCAAGGACCCCTCATTAACTAGGTAATTGGAGGCCAGTCCCTCTCTCTCAGCCCTAGAGAAAAGGATGCACGATCAAACACCAAGAAAACGGCAAAGACACCCCCCCCCCCCCAAGGGAAAGCCTCATCACAAACTCTTTGCCTCTCTTCTCCTTTCCAGGCTCTGGCAGAACAGCAGCGAGCTCAACAACAAGCCACTCCACAACAACAGCAGCAGCAGCAACAGCAGCAGCAGCAACAGCAGGCCGGACAGCAAACCGCTCAGCCATTGGCGGGGCAGCAAGCACAATCTCAGCCCCAGGCACAAGGCCAGAGCATCCAGCAGCCTCAAGGTGGGCTGCAGACGGCCGCCACCACGGTGGCAAGCACAGCTGTGTTGGTAAGACCCTCTTGTGGGCTTGCAAAGAGGCCGAGAAAGGCTCTCTGTGGGCAGTCAGATAGGGCACAGAGCTACAACTGGATTTTACGCATGGCTGTGGGGCGATTCCTTTCCCTTGGTTGCCTCTCAGGTGTTAAGAGAGATGAAGATGATTGCTAAATAGTGTCATGGTGAGGCGCTTCACTAGAAACCAGGAGACGGTGAGTTCTAGTCCTGCCTTAGGCATGAAAGACAGCTGGGTGATTTTGGGCCAGTCACCAGGAGACCAGGAGTTCTAGTCCC